CAGTTCCATGTTCTGCGCTTGCTTCATTTGCTCGCCAGACGGACATGTCTTCACTAAATCTTCAATAACTTTCGCAATACAGCTCCAAATGAGTTGAAACCATCTCCATTAGAAATCTAACTCAATTTACTTTCAGATCACAAAATATCATATTAAGCCGATCAAGGGAAGACCTTAAACAGAGATGATCTTTAAGCCGATTCAGACTTCTCCTGCATGTGTTTTGCCCATTTGATCAATTCTTCTAGTCTCTTTGTGTCCAACTTACTCCAGTATCTCCAAAATACCTAAAAATGAACCAAAGATGCACAAAATGCAAAAAAATAGATCCTAAACTCTAAAATGATCCTAAGTATGAAATGAGACTCAAAATGATGAAAAACATTCAAAAATGAAAGTCTAATGACTATAAAAGCTAAATAAAATACATGCTAAATATGCTAAAATATGAATGCATCAGAAACATAAAATATTAGTCAGTACTTTAATTGATAACAAAATGTTGATTTACTCAATACGATCAACTCTTTTAGGCTTAAAAAAGTTGGGAAAAATGTTAGAATTTTGTTTTTCACTCTAGCAATTCCAATGGTTCTAAAAAAATAGAAACAAGATAATAATTAATCAATCAATTTTTTAATATTAAACTATATATAAATCTAAAAAGTATTTTAAATAATTTTAGAAAAGAAGAAAAAAAGAAATAATTTAAATTTATATATATTGTTATAGTCAAAACCACTATAACGAGACTATAGAAAAAAAAATGTAAAACAAAGGCAAAACAATAAAAAAAAATTTGTGGAGACTTTAAAAATAATAAAGACACTAAATTATGCTTGACAAAAAATAATTTGTCAATGCTCTTATTTTTTCTAAAGCCTTTAAAGATTTCTATCAAGCGTCCCCTAAATTGAATATTTTTTAAAAAGTCCATCCAAAAATGCAATTTTTTATTTGTAGTCAATGGTTGAGAATGTTTCCATTTTCCAACATTACGAGCATCATAATGCATGACCGATGTCGATGTGTATAGATCGACTAGGTAAGTCACGCGGTTTCTATATTTCACAATTTCACTAATCACATAGTTTCATTAGAATATTTCATTCAAAGAGAGAATTTGTAACATATATATCAAGTTTACTTGTTGCACACTTGACATAGATGAAATGAATATTCAATCCATATTTTTATAAAGTCTTTTTTTCCATGGAATTTCTTCAACTATTCAATCTATTACTTGGGATCCCATTTTAGATTTGACCTTATATAATATATACATTTTTTTTTCTTGAAAAGTTAACCAACAAGTAAAATTCCATCTATTTGCTAGTAGATTGAAATTCGATTGCAATCAGTTGTCTACGTCAGGTTAATGTTGTAAGCTTATATTCAAAGTCAACAGAAATTTGGGTTTTAATCTATATATGCAAGGACATTTTGTCATATTCATATATATCATTACACTTTCAGAAATTTGTTTAGGCCACTATAAATCATTTGTTACAATTATCGCGACGTGTGTTCAGCTGTTATGCTATTACATGCGTCAGAGGCGTCTC